AGTCGTTTGCTACCGTCTTTCTTGTTTACTAATAAAGAGGGGCTAGCATACGGAGAACTACTTTCTCCAATTAATTTTCTAGTAATAGTTTTATCATTGTCCGAACAGCGATAAGGACGATGAGTCACAGGTTTTTCAGTTTTGAGCTCGATAGATAAAGAAACAGAATGTGCTTTACCAAGATTTTTAAGATTACGAAATACACAATCTTCACATTACAATAAAATTTTATATTATACATCGAGAGCCCCGTCCTCGAGATCACCCTGTAGTATATGCTTCAGTTCTCGTTTTCGGCGTATTTTTTACAGAAAGAATGTGATGCCTCTGCTTGCAGTCCCCAGGCCCGCTCTGCTAGCCATTATGTTTCATACGCTCGTGCGGTGAATGTGTTAGAAAAGTGCGTTAGTGACATAGGTACATTAGTTTTGTCTCTGCCAAAATGCCAAAACGGAAACTAGAAGTTTTCAAAAAGTCCATTAAAAGAAAAATTGAAAAAATTCAACGTATGATGGACAATTTTTCATCAAGTTCGCATTTAAATCATTTCCCATATTTAGTTTTCAGAACATTCAAGAATCATCAGTGTAAAAACCAGCCATTAATTTCTAATTATGAGTAAAATCTAATTGAGAAATTAACAAAAATGGCACCCAGGAAATTTAGTAAACATGAGTAAAATCTGTTTTCTATTTCCGTTCAGGCAGGAAAACATATAAAAGTTTCTTAAGCATGAATAATATCTGCTTTGAGAAATCATTTCATTTATTCCTTTATCACCTGATGTAATGATGACTCAGGTCGATGGCATATTTTGAACCGCTTATCGGTAAAAGAAAAAAAAAATATATATAAAACAAACACATTGTTCCCTTTTTTTTGCACATATTATTCACAATAAACGTTTTAAAAAGCGACAATAATATTGCCTTTGGATTTAGACAGTGGCGTAGGGTTTTCAATGTTGGATTTTTCTACTTTTTAGGTGATAATGACTCGGAAAGTTATAATAGTGATTCAAACACTTCTGAGTCAGAACCCAATGGGGATGCAGACTTACAACTTAGGGGGACTGCATCGCCCGAAAGTCAACCGCCCATAACTGAAGCCCCTGCCGATCCTACCGAAGTGCTTTTGGGATCTCTCTCTAAAACTGAAGACAAAGAGGGCCCTGAAATATTTCCAGATTTAGCAGTACGTTGGCAGTCTTATTTATCTGTTGGATTAGACAAAGAATCCAGGAAAAAATTATTAGAGGATTGGCATTCTCCAAAAAATTGCAGTTTTCTAAAGGCTCCAGTATTAAATCCTGAATTCGCGTTTCTACTTTCACCAGCAGAGATTAAAAAAGATAAATTTCTTCTAAACATACAGAATCTGTTGGGAAAAGGACTTTCGGCCCAAGGCGCGGCTTTATCCAAAATTCTTGAAGAACAAGACATAGTCGACTCAACTACAAAACAGGCATTGGTGGACTCGGGAAAACTCCTAACAGATACATTCCACTCTATATCGGTCCATAGAAAATTTCAACTCCACAAGTCTTTAAATGACAAATCCCAAAAAATTTCCATTGGCCAAAATGTAGATACATATCTTTTTGGATCCGACTTTGCGCAAAAATGCAAATCGGTTAAGGATGCCGAAACGGTTGCAAGAGAGCTCTTCAAGCCTCATTCAGGAAATAAACCGGTTCCATCCACTTCCGGTGCCAAATCTTTAAACTTCCAGCGCCCATCCTTCAAAAAGAGAATAAAATCGAACGAAAAAAGAAGGGGGGAGCCATACACGTCATACCGACAATCGAAAAATCTTCCGAGGGAGTCCAGCAGGAAACCAGGATATTACACCAAGAACAACAACCGGAGCAGATTCCATTAGAGGTAGGTCATGCAGGCAGAATTAAATATTTCTTGGAAAACTGGGAAAAAATTACCCAGGACAGAAGTATCCTACAATGGGTTACTGGATACAAAATTCTCTTTTCAAGGTTTCCAACACAGAAAAAAGTTACCAAGCAAAATCTTAGTCTAAAATTTCTAAAACCCATTACTGAGCTTAAAAACTTAGGGGCAATCAAAAAAAGTAAACGTTGTAAATATCAATATGTTTCCTCGTACTTTTTAAGGAAAAAAACCTAACGGAAAACAAAGATTCATTTTGAACCTTAAGGGTCTAAATACTTTTATTGATTGTCCACATTTTAAACTAGAGGATTTTCGTTCCGTAAAAAATATTATATCAAAACACTGTTACATGGCAAATATCGACTTAAAAGATGCCTATTTTCTGCTACCAATACACAAAAAATATAGAAAATTTTTAAAGTTTAAACACAATAATCAACTATATGAATTCACTTGTATGCTTTTCGGCTTGTCCATCGCCCCCTATATTTTCACTAAAATATTTAAGCCCATTATGAATCACTTAAGATCACTAGGTTTTTTGTCTGTGCTGTATTTGGACGATATTTTATTATTTGGCAAAAACAAACAAGATTGTTATAACAACGTTAATTATACGATCCAATTGCTCACATCATTAGGTTTCTTAATAAATTATGAAAAAAGCTTGCTTGAACCTACTCAAGAAGTAAAATTCTTAGGGTTTATATTCAATAGCAATAAAATGACCATGTTCATACCACCAGAAAAATCCGAGAAAATATTAATCATAATAAAATCAATAAAAAATAAAAAGATTATAAAGATAAGAGACTTTGCCAGATTCATCGGCATCCTAGTGTCAGTATGTCCAGCCATTCCATATGGTTGGGCTCACATTAAACATTTTGAATATTGCAAATACAGAGCCTTAAAAAGATGTTTCGGTAACTACGTGACACACTTAAAATCAATAAAGAGTTGCATGACGATTTTTCCTGGTGGATAGCGAACCTTTCCAATAGTGAAGTTAGTTTATTAGAAACTCCCTATGTATTAACGATATTCACGGATGCTAGCAACTCAGGATGGGGGGCATCTTGCAACGACAAATCAACTTGGGGTTTTTGGAATTTATTTGAAAAGAAAAATCACATTAATTACCTCGAGTTATTAGCCGCCTTCAACGGACTAAAATATTTTGCCAAAAACCACAGTAATTGTAACGTTATACTTAGAGTCGATAATATAACCGCCATATCACACATAAATAGAATGGGGGGCATTAGATTCCCTCACCTAAATGACATTACCAAACAAATTTGGAATTGGTGCGAAAAGCGGAAAATAATAATCTTTGCATCCTACGTTAACACACGGGACAACGTGATTGCAGATAGGGCTTCTAGACAATGAAACTGAAGCTAGCGCTTAAAATTAACAGCTAATATGGCCGGCCACCAGGGACGAACTACGTTAGGGGTCCCGTCAGGGCCTCACCAATTTTTTTTTACTATTTAGAAGTCGTGAGATAAAAGAATCAGAAAATTGAAAAATTATGATAACCTTCGAATGTGTGTAAACCTTGAATAAACTAAGTAGGTAAAGTGTCTGCGACAATGAATGAAAAAACAAAGAAATAAAAAAAGTTGATGAAGTTCGTCAATAATTTTAATAAGTTTAGACTAAAAAATTTCTAGAAGCTAGAGCTGGTCGAGGACACTCTGAGGGACTTCTTTAATTGCTAGGACCAAGAGTTGAGAGAGTTCGTTGATAATTTTTTGATTTCTCGGAATTTAAACTTGAAAAAATTACATTATTTTTTACTACAAAATTTCTCAAAGCTGGAGCTGGTCGAAGAGACTCTCAGAAAGTTCTTTAATTGCTAGGACCACGAGTTGCAAGAGTTCGTTGATAATTTTTTGATTTCCCGGAATTTTACACTAGAGAAAATTACATTATTTTTTACTACAAAATTTCTAGAAGCTCCAGCTGGTCTGAGGGACTTCTTTAATTGCTAGGACCAAGAGTTGAGAGAGTTCGTTGATAATTTTTTGATTTCCCGGAATTTTAGACTAGAGAAAATTACATTATTTTTTACTACAAAATTTCTAGAAGCTCCAGCTGGTCGAGGAGACTCTCAGAAAGTTCTTTAATTGCTAGGACCACGAGTTGCAAGAGTTCGTTGATAATTTTTTAATTTCCCGGAATTTTACACTAGAAAAAATTACATAAGTTTAAACTACAAAATTTCCAGAAACTGGAGCTGCTTTAAGAGACTGTTAGAGACTTATTCTATAGCTAGGACCGATAATTCACAGAGATAGTAAAATCTTTAGGTATTGCAGCTTGTCGGTAAGACTCGCGGTCATGTTTCATAACTTTGATTGTTAATTGTTGAAGTTCGTTGATTCCTCTGCCACATATAAAATTTTTTTTACTCATCTTTTTCTCTGGTAAAATTGACAAATTTGGAGAAGCCATCAACAATTATGACGACTTTCCTAATGGCTACACTAACTCAGTTTTATAGTTTTTTTTTATCCTCTTATTTGTTACTAACAATTACACTAATTAGATGCGTGAGAAAACTTTATTGGCTCAACTACTTACATTTCCTAAGGCTGATGTGTTTCCTGGAGATTTCTTCTGACTTATTCAATAATCTAGAAAAAGGATTTGTCCTATGTTTTTCAATAAAATTTTCCGAATAGTTTTTAATCATTTTATTTATTTATTTTTTTTTTCAAACTTACTTTCTAAATTTATTAATTTTTATTGATTGCTTCATAAATGATATATCAAAAACAACAATTTTTAAAATTTTTCAAACTTAACAATTATAAATTTGTAATTATGTTTCTAAGAATCTAGCATTTAATACTATTAGTATCACAATCATTTAACAAACGATTTAAGATTTCAAGACACTGGATAAGTATTGAAGTGTGGTTTGACATCCATCTGGTGGCAAGTTATAGATCATAGTTTTATCAAGATCAATTTTCTTCTCACTATCTTCATTTGTAAGTTCTTGCTCTGTTAGCTTCATTGATGCTTCTTTCTTACATTGATTGTTAGATATTAACATTTTTAATATCGTTTGTCTTGCGTCATTCATATCCTTGTCGGTAAATGTCATATACGATGAATTGCATATTATATATATCCATAGACAAACATGGATTCCGCAGTTATGCTGGTCTTCTTGTTGAGGTGTGTCTCGAGGTGCATATACAGACCATTGTTTATCAGATGTTTCCGTCTCATCCTTAAAATCTGATTATGTTTATGATTTGGCAACAAGACTTTCGTTGATTTATCTCGACTCATGGTATTTGAATCAAGATAAACTAAATTTTTTTTCGCTCGATCTGCGAATGCAAGCGTCCAGTGATTTTCATTAACGAACAGTGGTATTAACCACCATCGAAACTTCATAACGGTTGGGTTTAAAAATGAATTATAATCTACTGGCGAGCGTTTCTTGCTGTTCATCATGGCAAACGTAAGTATACTGTCAAGATTTTCAATATTTCGAGCATTTTTTCGAGCTATTGATACCTCCATTGAGGCAAAACCATTAATGATATTATCCGTGAGCCACAGTTCTTTGGGATTAATACCTTTTTCAAACTTCCGTAGTGTCGATAAATCTATATTGGTTAATTTGTAGCTATCTATCACAAATTCCTTTATCGCAGTAACATCTTCTCTTAATTCTACAAAGAAATCACTTCGAGCTCGTTTATTTATATCATCTTCATCCTGTGATGTTTTCGTTTTACCATTTTCATTGATTTCATCTTGTGTGTTTATATTTTCTTCATCTAATGATGTGTCCATTCTATCATATTCGTTGTCTTGATCTTGTGTATTTACATCTTCTTCTTGTAAAGATTTTTTCATTTTATCATCTTCACTGTCTTCATAGTCTGCTGAGCGCATTTCTTTTGCTATAGTAAAGTATTTATTTTTTTTCTTTCTACAAGAATCAGGTCCTTTATACCAGGATTCTTCGACAGTGGGTGTATCGTTGATGTCACCTAATTCTGGTTTAGTTACTTTTTTTGGTTTTTTCAATTTCAAACAATCATCGTTATTTTTTTCTTTTCTTTTTCTTGGTGGTTTTGGCATTTTTTGTCGTTCGGTCAAAATTGACGTTGTCCTCTTCAATAATTTGCCTGCTAATGTATTTTCTTGGTCAACTATAAAATCTGTTACTTCAATATTTTTTTTTTTTCATAAACGTTTTTTATTATTTTGTGCCAATTTTCGATCGAAGCATTCGAATCCCGCAGGATTCCATACACTACAATGACACAGGCCGACCAGAGTGGAAAATATGGGAGCCATTTTGTAAGAATGTAGAGAACTAGATCACGGCAATCGAATTTTCTTCTTTCTTTATGTGGTATTTCATTTTCCTTCTTGTTTTCATCTTGCGTATCATCACTTTTTTCTTTCTTATCTAACTTTTCATGCGTATTACTTTTTTCTTTATTGACATTCTCTTCAAATAGATCAAATTCATCTACCGATGAATCTGACTCGTCGAGGTTCTCATTTTCATTATCGTCTTCATTATTATCAAATTTTCCACTATCATTTTGGTTGCCGGCTGTAGGTTCAAGATCAATGCCAATGTCATTTAATTTTTTTTCGTAAATCTCTTTAAAATATTGATAATGTAATGAATTATCTCGATTACAATGACCCAATTCTGTTTTTTCTATGGCTTTTAGGGTTTTTTCATCGAGCATTTCATGAGTACTGTGAATTATTTCATAATTAAATGTTTCTTTAATTATATTATCACGTTCCTCGTCATTTAGATTGCTCATGAAAATCTCTATCAACCCAGAAAATACTTGTCCTGCAGCTTGCTTTGTTGTGCAAAGAATCAACACTGAAACAGCTTTAAGAGCAACATTATACTCTTCTGCTTTTAAATGAAGAGTTTTCCTGAAATGCCGTTTTGCAGTACTTATCATATGAGACGAGCAAATATGGATAATAGTTTTAATATCAATAAATTTTGATTTCATATATATTTCATTCATGTAATAAGTCAAGTTGCAATCGTTGAATACATGACAAATTGCTTGTAACAACGCCAAAGAAAAATCCGTTTCTATTTTGTCAATCAACTTTAAACGGTGCGGAGCTAAAAGCTGAAGATTAAACTTAACATTGTTTAAAAAACCTATAATGGCAGGAATGTTGTGACTTGAACTTATAAATTCTGCCACTGGAAATGGCCCAATTTTTTCTTCTTCCACTCCTGGTAATAACAGGGTATAATAATACACTTGTTTTGAATTTTGGTGGAACTTTTTTATTAGTTTTCCTGTAGCATCAATGTGAGAGAAAACTTTTCCTGACGGTATATCTAATAGCACTTTCAGCTGTTGTTCGGTAAATAGTTGAACCCCAAAATTGAGTAACTTGAATTCCTGAATGAAGCCGTGCTGTACTTTTTCGCCCTTCCAAGTTTCGTTATAGTTCTCTATTAATCTATATATCCGTTTTACATTTGTCTCTTCCACGGTATAAAATTTTCTTCTGTCTTCAGACTGAGCTTTGTGGATAACATCTAAGCTAGGTATTTTATTTAAATTTCCATTTTCAACTTTAGCCTTATCAGCCGCCGCACATATTTCTTCCTGGCATTTCAGTCCTGATTTTCCTCGTGCCATGTCCTTTAAATTGTCCCTATCTTCTCCATTACAAAAACGACGATGTTTTTCGTTTTTGTTATGGGCAATCGGTCGTTGGTGGTAAATTTTCATTTCACCCATCTCTGCTGACCTCGGATTTCCTTTGTAGGAGAATTTGAATCGTGTGCAATAACTATTTTTACACCTTGGCGTTGCAGAAAAAGTAAATTCTCCGTTTTTACAAGTGTGCTCATTTTTAGATGAAAATGCTAGGACACAATATTTGTATTCCGGTTCTGCATTAAATATATCGGATAAGGCATTTGTCCATTTGTCTATGAGCTTATTTTTTTCATTTAAAAATTTTTCCCAGAATGATGGTGGTATCTTAAGGCTCATCCCTTGAATATTAAAATAGTAGAGCAGCAAAGTATGTTCTGGCTCACACATAGGGAATTCAATGTGTAAGAGTGAGAGGTACATATTCAATGGTTAAGAGTGAGACAGACGATCTGAGAGGAAAACGGGGTAGTGGGGGGATTAAATTTCGTCGAATAGAATTTTTGCGTAGTGGTAAAGCCAAAATGGCCTAAGCGTATATCTTCACTGCTATTGGTCCGATTTAAACGGGGAAAACGGCATTATGAAGAGAGCGTGATATAGATTGAAGCTGAAAAGAAAAAATCATGCGCAGTGACAGGACAAAAGGACCTTAGCGTGTATCTTCACTGCTATTGGTCCGATTTAAACGGGAAAAAGGGGGTTATGTAGAAAGCGTGATATAGATTAACATACAAGAGAAAAATCATGCGCAATGACAGGACAAAAGGACCTTAGCGTATATCACGTGGTCCGATTTAAACGGGAAAAAGGGGCTTATGTAGAGAGCGTGATATAGATTAACATACAAGAGAAAAATCATGCGCAATGCCATAAGGACCTTAGCGTGTATCACGTGGTCCGATTTAAACGAGAAAAACAGGGTTATGTGCACCGAAAAGTTTGACGTTTGACGACTGACGTTTGACGTTTGACGTTTCACGTTTGACGTTTGACGGTTAGTTTCTGCTAGTATCAAGCGTCAAGGTTAACAACCCAGATCTCCGAGAGGAGGCGTATCCTACACCCAGCAATATTTTTTTAAAGTAAAATAAGTATAGTATTCAGTATTGAGATGTCTAGCGAAGAGAATGGACGTAGAATTGAAGAGTTTGCTATAAAAGTTCAAAAACTAAGAAGAGACATAAAATTATATGAAGATAAAAAACAAGTTTTAAGAGATTTAACAAATTTAAGTCTTTGGGATAAAGGCTTTGAGAGATATCATCCTAATCAGTATCCACTTAGAAGAATCCAACCGACGCAAATATGGCCATCTTAAAGGCTAATTTCATTATACTTACGGCTATATTAAATAACGTACTGTATACCAATGTACCGTTAGGTGTACAACAGATGGCGATACGTTTTGATAATTAAACGGAATGGCGAAAGATGAATTTCTCGGTGGTAAATAATATGAAGCTAAATACGTTTTCCATAGCAATCGATGAAGCAAAGAGATACAAATTAAAATTGATTTTTAATGATGGCACTGAAGGAGAATTCAAAGATTGGCAGACTCCACCACCACCACCACCACCCATCGAGTTGAGTGACATGTCAGAGCCCAAATATTCTAAATTATATGTAGTTAGTTGTATAACACTATCATCTACTTTGTTTATAATATTGAAAATTATTGTAAAAATTATAAATAAAAAATTTTATTCTTCTTGTAAAACGAAAATAAATGCATGAAATTAATAAGGAGTTTCAATTAAAAACCTTTTTTTCATTTATAATCATTTATTAATAACAAAAATTACAAAGGTATGCAATTAAGAAACCATTGGCGTAGACTTTCGACATTCTTCTGGGTACATTTAAATGATCCAATGGCGTGGTACATGCAGGTTTTGGAGTCACTACTGAATTTTTCTGTTGCACACGGGGTTCCATCGAACTTGCATACATCTACTATTATAGGACGTGACACGTAACACTTTTTTAGTAAAAATTCGGCTTTTTCACTTCCTCGTACGTAGATACAATCAGCATGGTTTAGTAAATATGTTTCCAGAATCGAGTTTAACTTGGAATAATCCACGTCTCCAGAGGAATAGTTGATCCCATGAATATGTTTCTCAACATATCTAGCGCTAATTCTATCAGGCGCATTTAGGTTAGAATAAGGTGTAGGCGGTGTGAACAAAGCGTGGTATTTTTTACAACCAATTGCGATACTCAATTCCTTCGGATGAAAAATACCGTCGATGCAGAAGCCTTGGATGTCAACGAATGCGATCCTCATGATGACAGAAACGAGACTGAACATATTATTATTAAATGATACTCTTAACTACTTCCGTAAGAGGATGATATTCCATCAAACGATCATGAATTATGATGCAATATGCTTTGGTATTAGCGGGGAATCCTGTATCTGCTTCTATTTCCAATTTTACGTCAACCGTAGAAGATTTCATGGTCTCTTCCTGCTTTGAACAATCAATCACAAATATTGCGTAGCGTTTGAACGCTTCATAGTTTAGAAGAGCCGTTTTCGGTGTACCGGTTATATAGTTTGCATTAAATTCTGTGTAGTTGTAGTGAGCAATAGCATAGTCGTCTTCTTTAAAATCTAAAAGCATTCGTTCGTTTGGCCAATATTCCCCGTTTAGAGATACTCTAACACCGGTTAGGTTAACATTATCAAATTTAGTGGGGTCGCTACTTAGTTTATTCCGCCTGTCAGTTTGGAAGCAAACTAATATATATCGTGGACGTTCTACGGCAGCACTAGTCTTTACGGCCCAAATTTCTCGTTTAGAATCTTTAGTTATTGATGGTAGTTCATTTAATTTCCAGTTTCTAAACGGAATCAATATAGGACGATCATTTTTGATGGGTTCCATAAGTTTAATTTTAATCTCGTCATTAGGGAAGATATGTTTAATTTTTACTTCCATACTTTCAATTATCAATTTAACGGTTGTAGAGGTCATACCACTACCACTACCTCCGGTTATAGGCTGCTCCATCACAATGACACAATCATTATCGTTACGTGATCGAACTAAACGAAATGTTTGTCTACCATAGGTAATCATAGTATAATCATTGAAAACGTTGAAAATGTGTTTAAGAGGCATAAGCAAATTGAAATGTTTTGAACCATTCAGAAGCGGGTTATCGGGATAATTCCACCCCGCAATACTCATGAAACGACTGTATTCCGGTCCATAGCATGTTAAGGCTCGTACGGTGCTTACGATTCCAGGATCTCTAACGACTTCTATTTCTCTAGAGCATTCGCTGTAGGAACAGCTATCGAAAAGAAACGCTCCAAAATTGTGTGCTAATTCACATTTTCCCCCGCCAGTAATTTCCAATTTTCCTTTAATTTCCAATAGAGTGTCAGGCATTGCGAAAAATGCATCAGATTGATTTATTATAAATTCAATGACGTCGCTGTTGTTGAACGATTTAACGTATGGACTATAGGATCGATATTCTTCTTTTCTAATGGTATCATCAAATCGTGGTTTTTTATAAAGGTTGAATTTTGGATCGATACCACCTTCATCGAATCGAAAACGTTTCATCGCCGGTTCATCACCATCA